GAGATTATTATATTTAAAGGCCTTATATAACGCTATTATTATATAAGTTAAGGACTATATATTAAAATATAAGTAATAAATAAAACAAAGACGATTAAAAACTTATTTTATAGAGTATAAGTAGTTTTATATTTATAGTTATAGCTACTACTACTTATCTTATTAATACTTACTTAAAGTATAAGAATTTTATACCTAAGTCCCGTATATACCCTTTAAAAATAGGAATATAACCCGTTTTTTTATAAGTTTAGTAGCGTTAGTATTTATTATTAATATATAAACTTAGAAAATACGTATTATTTAAACGGTTATTAAGGGCGCTCTTAATATATTTAAAGTATTTATAACCGAACGGGAGAAGTAAAAGTACTAGCTTGTATTAAACTTTAGTACTAAGAATAGTACTAAAAGGGTCCGTTATTAAAAATTAGTTTTATAAATAACGATAGATAAAAAGATATTATATATATAATTAATTATTTTAATCCCCTTAGGAAAAGTCTTTTTTTTCTTCTCCTCTTTATTTAAAAAAAAGCGAGAGAGGGGGCTATAAACCCTCCTCGCTTACGCTATTTTTTTTAAAAAATAAAGACTTTTTTTTAATCTCTAAGAGGGAGTAAGAGAGGGGATTATAAACCCTCTTTATTTTTATTACTCTCTTAAGTAACTCGTTTAGTTATAAAGCCGTTATTTATTAAATAGAGTAATTAAATTAATATTAAATAAACGAGGCCGTATTATTAACTAAAAAATAAAATAAAAAAATATTACTTATTTTTTATAGGCTCGTTATTAGGGTTAGGGGAGTTATTACTCTTCTTTAAGGCTATAACTTTATATTTATATTTTTTAATTTCCCGCGCTATAGTAATATAAGTATAGTTTTTAGTTATTCGTTTTAATAATATTTAAATAAAAATAATATTATTAATAAAAATCTTTTTTTAATAATACGTATATATAAAAACGCGGGTATAAAAATAAAAAAATAAGAATATATATATATAATAATAATATAAATATAAGTTAAAAAGAGAAGAAAAGTTAGTATTATAGGTAGTAATAAGAAATTTATATATTTACTACCCTTAACTTATAAGTTAATTATTTAGTTAATAAGAAGCTATTTTTTAGTTATACTTTTTATTAATAATATAACCTTAAGATTACTTATAATAATAAATACGGAGGTTAATTTATAGCTAATTTATTTCTTATTTATAACTCTATACGCAGACCGATTTATTTTATAATTCCTTTTATAAATAGATTTTTATATATTAATATTTAGTTTTCCGCTTTTAATAAACCTATTTATAATAATATAGGTAGTTAAGTACGCTTTTTTTAAATATATATTTATCTAAGGGGGTATATTATAATAGCTTTAACTATTTATAACTTTATTATATATTACGTAACCTCGGTTATATAATTACTAAGGCCTATTTTGCTTATACCCTCTATATTAAAGCGAGCTTCGAGCCTATTTCCTATTTTTAATAAATAACCGTTCTTTTTATATACGTTAATGCCCCTATAGTGACTCTACGACAGAAGGGAAATCCCAGAGCTTCTGGTTAGTCACTGGATCCCTGCGCCATCCATCTTATTAAAGTTGGAACAACCCTACTCCTCCACCCGATATCACACCCGCCCAAGACCCGCGTAGTCTTCCTACGTAGATAATAGCTGGGATAATTCGGGAAATTCTCTCCAATAAAAGCGTTGAAATGCCCGATCTACTGGGTGGGGTCAAAACGTGATCAGACACAATGGAACCTTGAGTTGACCACATAACGCGGATACGCTGTGGGGGGTCTTGCCGGGTCTCAAACCTTGCCACCGAAGCTGACAAGCAACGACCCCTCCGGAGGACCGCAACTTTCCAATGCAAAGTTTCACGCGGCTGACGAACCGAAAATCCTAATCCAATCTCGCGTTTGGTGTATATGGGTTGTTGGGCAGCAAATACTGCAAGCCCCAACTTAGATCTCATTCTCCGCTCACGTTATCCGACATGCTTCCTCTTGGGCATATGAGCATGCTTCAATCATTGAACGACGATACGACGGTCGAGGCACATGTCTCCGTTTGCGAACGATGCGACATATCCAAACGCGACTGATCGTAGATAGCTGCAAACACAAACTGAAATTTGTCTTACGCGGCCGGTGACATTTGATGAGCGGCCCATAATATCAGACTTGTGATCAGTCATCCTTGCCGGACGCTGTACCATCCAAGAGACCGACAGACATTATCAGAGTCCTCCTCTGTTTTATATCACCTATCCTTATAACTATGACCTAGGATGACCATTCTTGACGAAGTCTGACGCCGTCAACGATACAAGATCTCAGGAGCATGTTGAGCATTCCTAGCCTGTAAACTTTGGTTTCATGGCAGGATCGACTTACTCCGCGCATGACCACTTCATGATTGGACCAGCCAGAGGATCTCTTACGCCATGCACGATTCTCTGCACGGGGATCTTGAGCTTATCAGTTCCAAGTAATTCAAACATCTGATGTGACCCGCAGAAAATGAACCCTCGGGATTCCCAATATTCAATACCAAAAGTTTGCAGCATTTGATCAACCGTATCGCAATACTGCTCAATGATCCATATATTCCAGCACTACCGTGACCGCCCCAGTGGGAGGAAAAAATGGTTGGCGACCTTACTTATCTCTGAAAGACAATTACGTTCTAGAAGCATCAACCTGCCTATTAATACAGCTCTTTTGAATGCGGGTCAAGATTGCTTTGTTTTTGCTCGCGGGTGTTGTGGTGCAGGCGGTGCTTCGTGCCATGGTCACTGAGAATGACGGACTTCTTCATGACTTCGAAATAAGTAACGGCTGTCGCTGAGTCAAACTGTTCGAATTCATAGACTCACCGTTGGCCAGATGAAGAACTCCATGGAGTCTTCGTCGGAAGGCTCGAGTATGCCGGAGTGGGTTGCACGTCGAAAGGGGAGAGTCCCACTATCCGGCCCAAGCAAGAAAATCAACTGAGCCCAGTGATAATTCTCTGTCTGAAAGTCGCGGAAATTTAATGAATTCTATCCGTTCCGTCCAAGAAGTGCGTACGTATAATTGTCAACTCTTCAAACACAAACCTACAGAGGTATCATGTGCCTTTGACTGACAATGTGTCAGGTTGTACGCATTGGAATTAAAACACAGGACAGATCCGAGAAACTCTTTTCGACCCTCGTTAGACAACTCTCTTAAACTCAGTATTGGATCCTCTATTAAGGCAGCGAATCGAAACGGAGCGACCGAGTACGATCATTGCGACCTGCGATCTTACGGAAGGAAATCGACAATAACATGCCCTCTCCCTTTTTGCTGTCTGGGATATTGCTGAGCATTCTGCGACTCAATACTCACGTTCGTTACATAACAACAGAGGACAGCCGGAATGGGCCGTCTGCCAACTGTAATCACTGAACAGGTCACAGTTCTAGCCCTCTTTTTGATAATGTCAAAATGCTAAACACTTGTTTACAAATCGATTTCCGCAGCGAGTCTACTTTGTGACAGAAACGTACCGATTTGATCTTGAGGAAAACCACATGCGATTCCAGAACACCATACCAGAACGCCGGTTTGACTGCTGCTTGCTCACCATAAAGTTGCACCACTACCTTTGCCACATTGGTGTTCTTGAACTGCGTACCAACGCCCTCCATTCAACAACTCGATGTTGCAACAGCTGGCCCTCGACCATTTTCAAACCCGGAATGTGGGGGTTCCTTGTGCATATTGCACAGGCTAAGTCTGATCGCGTTTGCCATTCATACGTGATGATCACTGTACTAAGCTCCTTTGATATCGAAGCTTTCTCTCCCAGTGTTTCTTCAACTCCTGATCGGACGGCATGATCGGCCGGGTTGTGGAGTACATCCGGGCCAGATCAAAACAAGCTTCTCCCTTCCACTACCTAGATAGGAAAGCCCTTGTTCTAAACGAGTCAAACATGGCCAACGTCATCCTTATTCTGCAGCCATCAAGTGTTGTAGCTGCCCCGTGTGACTCAACGTTCGTCTCTTCGAGGAAGCTGGACGAAGCAAAGAGCTGGAGCAGATCGCCTTAGAGCTCAGATCGTGTGAAGCGTAGTGGTTTTCGGATCCGTCAGAGACCTAGTGAAACGAAACAACTTCAGGGGCGCTCGGCCGATATGTTAACCCCGAAAAAGAGAGCTGAGGAGGTTCACCCTCAGTGTCTTTGAAACGTCCTCTTTCTCCGTGCGAGACCGAGACCGTGGAAAGGTCAAAGAACACATGCGTTACGATGCCGCATTTGGTTCCTGTCACACGTTGACAGCGTGCACGGCTTCATCATTACCTGCAGCAATTGGTGATGATCCGAAGCCCTAAGCTGCACCATCTTTTAGAAGCTTCCTGTGCCTGGGTGCCCTCCACACCTGCACGCCCAGTCGAGTGAACCATAAGCGAGGGGCTTGATTCCCAAATTTAGGGCATCAGATCTAAACGAATGTTCCGCGGATATGTCAAGCTGTAAATAGCCTAGATGCAAAACACGATGGGATCTGTGATCTTGGCTTGCAGACTAACCGAGCGCACCGACATCATATCATGCGCATGCCGTCCTCGGACACTCGTGCTGAAGCGGGCGGGAAGGACACGACCCGTTACCAAAGGGGCCTCGCCTGGGTTTGTGATAGCAATTCGAGCGGAAACCATGACCACAAGCAGCTCAATCTCATCACATGACCTGAGGAACACTCCATTCTGCTCTTGGTCCGTGTCGGAGGGGGGGGGGGCCAAGGATACTGATCTCCCGGCTCTCTGGTTTAAAACCCTGGAGGCGACAAGCTCGAAAGCTTGCTCGAGTCAGCCGCAGGCTCTGCCCCCGATTCCCTTCCCCTTCTTCAGCCCATCTCCCGCCTTCCTTTTTAAGATTGGATCGTTCTTGGGTTTCTTTTCCATTCATCCATACTACCGGAATACACGAAATCTCATCAACATGGTTTACACGGGGAAGCCCTCGGGCGGATGCAAGTTGTGTAGGATAAGAAAGGTCAAGTGCGATGAGGCGAAGCCCTTCTGCATGAGATGCACGAAGTCGAAGAGACACTGCCCAGGCTACGGCCCCGTCGTTCGCGATTCGTCAAAGTCCGCCGACAAATTCAAGAAGATGAGAACAAATAGCACCGATAGCAATATGTCTTCCGCCGACTCATCGACAAAAATCAAGATCGGGTCGCCCGGATACTGTTGCGACAAAACGTCATTAAGCCCGCCAAGAAGAAACTCATCCCCATTCAAAATCGGACATGAAGAGGGTGACCTCATCGAATGCTTCAAAAACGTTCCAGGAGGATTGACGAATCCGCTCGACGAGCAAGCCTCGTGTCTCTTTCTCTCCGAATTCGTCAACGTACCTTTGACACCAACAGCTCGGGGCTATTATGCCTTTTTGCCGCGTTTCCTCGGCCGTGGTCAGATCTCAGTCTGCCTTTCAGCTGCCTTCAAGGCAACCTCTATGGCCGCCCTGGCGATGCGACAGTCTAAAGGAGCAAGAGGCCCTGCCCTCCTTCGTGCGCAAGAGCACCATGTGGCCGCTTTACGAGCAGTTGGCCAAGCGATTGCCGATCCCAAGGAGATCGACAGCGATCAAACCCTAGGGGCCGTTCTGATGCTGGCTTTCTACGAGGTAAGCTATCATTATTGTCATGGCTCTACTCTATGCTGATATATTACAGACGTTAATGTCAAAGGACTCAATGAAGGAATACATCAGCCATCTCAAAGGTGCCGCCAAGATTGTTCAAGTCCGTGGCCAGAAGTGCCTAGAGACGGATGAGGGTCGGGAAATGTTCGCCATGACACGCAACCAATGCATATCCGTCCAGAACCTATTCAAAGAGTCGGAAATGTCCGGCTACTCATGGCTACTGTACAATGAGGCGGTTCAGCGTTCGAATCGCGCCACCGTCGACATCAATCTCCTCTGCAACCAACTCCAGCAGGGCGTGGATCGCATCATCGCCCTGGCGAGAAACCCTACAGATGAGACTGTGGATAAGATGCTCGAGCTACTCGAAAAATGCCGGAAACTCGAAGACGAGTTCAGAAAGCTCAGCGAGAATCCGAATCCGCAGTGGAAAGTCGAGGTCGCCGAATGGGTCTTTGACCGAACCGACGAAGAACTCGACACCGAGCCCACGTTTGACGGCCAAGTGTACAAGTTTTTCAACTTACCCATGGCTGTGTTGCATTTGGTCACATGGTGTTCTCACCTCAACCTCATTACGACGATGATCCGCGCCAGCTCATGGTTAGCATCGGCTGGTAGAGAAGGCTTGAGCGACTACGACGAGTACGGCGATCTGGTTCAGTCCGCGAGCGCCCGGGTAGCGAACATTGTTTCAGCAGTACCGTATTTTTGCAGTTGGAACGGGTACGGCGTCATTGTTTCTCAGTTCCCCTGCGGCACGACAAAGCCAGACGATCCGCTCAAGGGCGAGGCCGGTCTCATTGTCATGTGGCCGCTCGCTATGGCCTTGAAGAGCGACTACGCCACGCCAAGACAGAGACGGTATTTGAGGGGCCGCCTCCGTTACATTGCAGACGTATCTGGTATCAGTCAGGCCAGGTTTTTAATGAACGAAATTTGATATGACGATGGTTGAAACGATATTTTGGGTGTAATTGTACGTGGTAAGATTCAGGCAGGGTTGGCAAGATGGCGTCGGCTACTTTGAGCATAATGGTTTGGGGCGCATATGAGGTTACATTGCGGGAGTTGGGATACCAAACCTGGGCGGCTCCAGTTATCAGACTGATTTTGAGGAGTGATACCATATTTAGTGACGATACGTGTAAAACCGAGACGAATAAAGTACAGAATTGTTTAGTGCGATCGAATGTCTATTCCAATAGCTTCATCCAGCACCCAGTAAGACGGCATTTGCGAGCCTTCGGCTTGCGTTGCAGCCTTAAGTGTCATTCTCTCAAGATCCCTCAGCAATCAGTCGGCCGACAAAATAAATGATACCAAATCATCGCCAGAGAACCTGTTTCTGAGAACATGAAAGATCACGATATTTCTCCAAGCGGCAATGTGCCGTGCCCTGTGCTGGTCTCTTGTTGGGGCCAGACCTCTTTTAGGGGTTTCATCCCATCGTCTCTGGTACCGCCTAGCGTTTCGAAGTGGGAGCCAAGTCCTGACGCTATTTAGACTTTGGAACCAACAAACAACTTGAAGTCTCCACACACTCGGCAGTATGAAGCGCGCACGGAGTAGAAACACGAACCAATGTCAACATCACCTCATAAATTGGATGACCAGCTGTATGCCCAGTCGAATTCTCTCCCTCGGTTGTTTTTCATCAGATATAGAAAGGAGCTACCCGCTTGTATGAAGGTCACAGTATGGTCCCTCAGAACGGGGGAAAATTGGTGTTTGTCCAGCCGCCTATTATTGTGGGTAGTCAACTCAGCAGTACGAATATCCTGTCAGGATTTCGATGATTGTATCAGCTTTCATTTAAGACTTAACAGAATGGGGTCAAGTCATGATCATAATGAGTACTGCGTCATGTTCTGAGAAACCACTGAGTTCGTCACAAGCATTCTGGCTCAGTCTTACAACGGACCGTCGGTGGGTTAGATCGGCCGTACATACATGGGATGATGGAAGATCCTATGAGCGTTGGCTATTCCCGCTGTGCTCCTTCGTTCGCGCCCTCAAGCGGATGCAGGGACTAGCATGTGTGCAACAAAGCGGCTCCCGCCGAAGTAGATCACCAGGCGGGTAGCAGCTTGTTCCCCAATGCAACCGCGGTCTGAATTATGCTAGTCATGGCTTGCGTACTCGACGACGGTCTATCCCATCGAATCGAGTACGAGGTGACGTCAAGACAGGTCCCTCCAGGTTTTCTCCAACTCGACGGTTTTGGAAAGTATTCTATACGTGCATGCAAAAATATTAGAAATAAGGTCAGAGTATGATACGTCACGCTATTATGCCTCACTTGAGGACGTCTTCGTATACTGACGATAACACGCACATAACGGAACGGGCAGTCCCTAAGAATTAATCATCATCCGGCCTAGTCAAAGCATTTCAGAGTCTTGCAGTGAAGTCAAGCAATTCGCGACAGAGTTTGATGGCATTTATCTTCTTATCCCCAAACAACTTGATGCCCAATCTATATATTACCGCTAATAAAATCAACAGAAGCTAACAGTCTAATAAGTCCCATGCCCATACTTCGGCCGCCAGTCCAAGTTCTCCCGGAAAGTCTTCCAATCCACCGGCTCCGTTGTTCCAATCACCTGTGCCTTCACCGATCCACCATCCTTGTCATACCAGACTCCATTAAAACACCGAGTCTCATGCAGCGTAACATGAGAATCAAAAACATCCCGAGAACAATCACACGTGATAATCTCCCGCTTCACACTAGAAGCCCTATTCAGCGGAAACAACATCTTTAAAACATCGGGCAAGATATCCGGATCGCCCCGCTTCATGACCATGTCGATCGGGATATCCTCGCCAAACAGCAAAAACACCCGAAAGGAGGTGCGCACGCCGTCAGCGTGCTCCTTCCTGACGCCAATGCTGGCCATCTTCCTGTAGAGCTTCGTGGGCAGCGTGCCGTGGTGCGGGTCGAACCAGTTCGTGATGATGTTGTTAAACTCGTCCGCTTTGACGCAGAAGTCAAAGGTGCATTCGATCATGACGAGTCGGCGGCAGTGCGAGGGCTCGACCTTGTTGGATTCGCAAAAGTGGCGCTGGTATTTGCCGTTGATGGCTCTTTCCATCTTGATCTTCACGCCGCTAAGGACCTTGCCGATGATGGATATCTTCCTTTCGGCAGGCATCTTGTCTGGTTGGTTCTCAGGTACCGGGGTGAGGTGTCTTGAGAGTGAAGGGGATGGATTGTTCTGTAAGCGAAGCTGGATTGATTTGAGGTGGTAAATTGGTTCTTGGGCCTGTTTGTATGTATGTTGATGAAGTTTGAGACAGGAGATGAGGTTCATCTTGTGTCTTCATATACAGCTGCAACATCATGAGGCTGCTCGTTCTAAATTTGACAATGAAGAGAAAGATCTCTTAGTTGCACAATGATATTGAGCCCATGTCAAAGGAGAGCATCAACCAATTCTTCACAAGTCTGCGTAAACACAATACCAAGAATAGTCCTGGGCTTTGTCAACCTACGATAATGCTCACAAAGCCTTTGAGGTCTTTGAGTTACAGAAGATAATGCCATTGCACTCCACTCAGCTATGTGTTCCTGTTCGAGGCAAGTTGAGGAAGGCGTTTTCATTGACAGCACAGCGTGGATATACACTTAGCAAAGCCAAGGCGTGAAAGAATGTGAATGAACGAAATAATGCTGTTCAAGGTGCAGACTGAACACATTTCCTTTTCTAAAGTAGACAATCTGCATGCATTTCAGAGTAAATCTCAAGTGACAGGACTCAGGTAGTCAACACTGCACTTGAAGCGACTTCAACAACCAACTTGACAAATCATACAATCAACTTTCAGAATATCGCTCACAATCAACTCAACTTAAACCTCGCAGTTGATTGATTGCGTTGCATGTGAGTAAAGCATCGCAGCTAATGTAGCGAGTTCAAGCTTGAAACGTATCGAACCACGTCTGAAGTTGATTTCCCTACCCAGAGTCTTTTCTTCAATCCGGCGAAGGTCATGTGCTGCCACACGAGGTTAATCAAAGAGAGGAGATATTGACAACAAGAAGTTGGATATTTTATGTTGGATATCTTTCAACAAACCATGTAAATTCAAAAGTAGTAGAGTGTCCGCCACGCCTGGTGTCGGGATGTGGCGAACAAATAGGAATGCTTCCGATAGGATCGCCTCCTCACAATAGTCCAAAGATTTCATGCGTGAACCATACAAGATTCGTATCTTGCTTCGCCTGAAGCTTGACCACTCATCGCATCTGTTGCAGTGCGAACCCGAACCAGGTACAGAACCGTGCAGACTTAGTAGGTAAGCTTCCGGACCCGAGGAAGCTTCCGATTTTCCATCTCACCTTACCTACCTTAGATAGGAAAGTAGAGTAACGTTCGACTTGAATTAAGTTGGCTGCACTCATACTTTGTGTGTGATTTCGAAAAAATAGAGAGCGGGGGAAAGCGCAAGGCTTACGATGATCTAAATGACATTTGCCAAGTCAGTAAGGCTGACGTGTTTGTGCAGCCCGCCGGCTCACGCTGCAGGGCTACTACTGTCTTGGATATACGCGCCAACGCGGCGGTTCGCATGTGACGACTAGTAAGGTCAGGTTTGATCGCCCGTTTGTGGGGTAATTGCAGCTGCAAGACGGGAAACATGCTCCCGCCTACGCGCCTGGCCGCATTGCCAACTCATCCCACACATCTGCCATGACATGTAATCTCACAACAGGCGCGCCTTAGCTGAAGAGTGGCGATGCCGCTTATTCTCGACAGTCTATAATACCATACCACGAACCCACTTGTGTGATTCTTTTCTTTCATGCGACGGGGTCTTCATGCTGTCCGAAATTCCGTCTGAGCTGTTGGAGAACTGTGACGCATCAACCCGACGTGTTCGTTGCGTGTCATGCTCGAGGTCTGAGCACCGAGCCAGCGGGAACGCCTCAGTTACCAACCACCGCCACACCCAACCTAGATAATCGATTGGCAGCCTCTTTCAAGTTGACCTGGTTGATTTTGATGCCAATCGTGTAGTTAGGAGCTCCTTAGTTGACAAGCGATCATGAGAAGCCTTTCAATCTTCCTCTCGCTGCTGCGCCTGGCAGAATGGGTAACGCCAGCCCAAAGCGAGGCAACACCATCAAGCAACACGGCCGCGAAGCCGTGCTCCCCCGACACCTTTGTATTCCCCACGGAGCTCGAGCGCGCAAACCTCGTGGGCGTAACGGCGGCCGAGGTCAGAGGCCTGACGTTCAACCCATTGACACCAGAGGGTCGCGCAGCCATCCCGCCGACGGGTGTCAGCTTCTGCAACGTGACGGTCAAGTACGTCCACACGGGCTTCGAGGACGTGACACAGGTGCAGATATGGCTTCCATCTGCCGAGGCGTGGAACGGACGGTTCGTGGGCGTCGGAGGAGGAGGGTACTCGGCCGGGCAGTTTGGGAGCGAAAAGGTCGTTGCGACCCTGGCGCAGGGATATGCGAGTATGTTTTCCGGCATTGAATCTTCTCTGCTCGCGGGTGCTCTTGCTGGAATTTCAGACGCGTGAGCGCAGACTAACGGGGCGATAGCAAGCTCAACGGACGCCGGGCACGATCATACGACGTGGGAAGAGGCGCCTTGGGCGTTGAAGAAAGATGGCACGGTCAATGAGCGATTACTCGTGAACTACGCCCACGTCTCGGTGCACGACATGACCATCATCGCAAAGTCGATTGTAACGCAATACTACTCTCGGACGCCAGAGTACTCGTACTGGAGCGGTTGCTCGACGGGTGGCCGGCAGGGCATCATCGAAGCGCAGCGATATCCGGGAGACTACGACGGCATCCTCTCCGGTGCACCGGCCGTGAACCAGCCAAGTCTCATCATCAGCACGTACTGGCCTCAGTTCGTGATGAACCAAAAGGGGGTGTACCCGCATATTTGCGAACTGATTCTCATGACGCAG